ACATTTGTACACATGTTGCCATCATCCTTTTCAAAACATTTTCTTTCTACTTGAGCCCTTGGTATCAGCTCCTCATTTTTCCCCTCCACCCCCCCAACCCTTCTTCTCTCTCTTTTTGTATTTGTGTTTTACTCTTCTTCCCTTTGTGATATAAACATGTTGTCATAGATAAATGAGTATCACTTTCAATTTTTCAGATATGGAGGGATGTGTAAATATATCAAATGAAAGATGAGTAACAGTTTTATTTTCTTTCTTTCAGTCTGAAAAGTAATGCCCGCCCCTCCGTTTCCTTATGAACGGAGACTGCCGTGTTGGAAGGATTTTCAGGGCTTTAGAATTTCGGGGTTAAGATACCTGTTCTAGAGCCAAATTACCCGCGTTCACTCTGAGTTGTAGTATCTATTTGCTATTCTAACTAGAGACAATTTCTTTAAACTTTCTGTGTCTCCGTTTCTTTATGTCTGGAAGTTGAGAATAAATTCAGGAGCCTTGGTGGTGCAGTGGGTTAAGCTCTGGGCGCTAACCACAAGGTCGGTTGCTGGATCCTCCAGATGCTTTGTGGGCAAAAGTTGTGGCAATCTGCTCCCTGATAGACGATCCTCCTGGAAACCATCAGGGGCAGTTTCTGTCTGCCCTCCGAAACCCCAAATTCACCGCCGATTTTGATTCATCGTGACTGACTCTATGGGGCAGAGTGGAACTGATTTTGTGGTTTTCCGAGGCCGTACATCTTTGTGGGAATAGAAAGCCTCGTCTTTCTGCAGTGCAGCAGAGGGTGGTTTCGCACCACTGACTTTGTGGTCAGTAATCCAAAGTGCCCTACGGGGTCATTCGAATGGTTTCTGGCAAATTGGGTTTACGTTTTTTTGTTTTGCTTTTCTGTTGCTTGGTTTAATGGGAGTGATAGGCAACGATTGATGGAGTCAGAGAACAGGGTTCCGCTTTCCTACAAGTGTGGAGATTTGCACTTATTACAAGATAGGCTCTCATCACTGAACACATTTAGAAACCGGTATTTCAGTCTCTCATCTCTTTAAACAGTAGTGCAGCAATTGTCATTGACAACGGAATGAGTACATTCAAGAAGACCATTGTGTCCCCAGACTCTTGCCCTACATATTTCCTGATTTAATAAGTGAATCAGACAATTTGATACATTTGGAAATGTTGGCGTGGCTTATTAAAGTTTGTTTTTATATTATTCTTAAAGAAGGCAAAGAGTGGATCTGTTTCCCAAGTACATGGAAGTTTTGCTAAAATCCTTTGGTTCAGCAAAGGAAAGTATACTGCTGATTAGAAAGTTAGAAGATGAAGGGACATAGGTCTATGTTGGCCTTGATAGGCCTGCTGACTGATCTTGTCATTTTTAAATGGTATATCACACACCCACGCACACGCACGCACCCACGCACCCACGCACGCACGCGCGCGCGTGAACACACGTTTCTAAGCTGTGTTTCAAGTGCTGGAAAATGAGATGGTTTAAGGTGTCAAGAGATGATAAACAGATGGATACTTTTATTGGACTTTTAATATACTCTTTAAAAATTCAACTTGTATATCAATTTAGCCTTTATCCTACTTCTTATAACAACTCCTGCCTTTTCTTTCAGGATTTGTTTTTCTATCATTGGAGTCAATCTTGGTGGCAGATTGTCAATCAAGGTGCATCTACCTTGGCTGCTCACGTGTTGGCAAGTGTGTGCTCTGCGCCTACCATTCCACCTAAGTGGTGCAAACTTTTCAGCTTAATGAGCTCCACGCTTGAGAAGGCAGCCTGGTGATCAGATTGTCTGACTCTGTGCTTCCCAGCACATACTCACTCGCCCGGCCTTTCCATTGCCGGAGTTAGCCAGAATCAGATTTGACGGGTTATATTTAAACAATCCTGTTTCATTTTAGATGTGGATTTTGTGGTTCCAGATAGAAGATAAGAATTTAAAGTAGAACATAAATTATCTTAAAGAAAAACATTTTTTGTATTTTTACAAGTGACAGGGCCCTGGAGCAAGCCTTTTGAAGACCAGCGAGTGACTAATGGTTGGAAAACATCATCACAAAAACTGCCATGAACCAAAACTCCCGGGTACATTTAGAAATTAAAATTGGAATATCCTGAATGTTTTTTAAAATATCAAGAGTTCTAGATTTAGCCTGATACCATGAATAAAAATAAAGAAAGAAATGGATAAATATATTACTATGTTTTTGGTCATAAGGATCTTCTGGGGCAAGACCAGGTCTTATCTAAAAATACATCTTGCCTATGACAGACAATATCAGTTTTCTCTTTCCAACCAGGTATTGCATTTATATTTGGCCTTTTCTTCCAGTTAGAAAAACACTGAAGGTATAATGCTCTATTAATACAAACAAGAATCAATGAAGCCCATTTGCGTGGGTGGGGTGGGTGGGTGGGGGGTGAGGCAGAACCACACATTTTCATGTTAGGTATGTCAGTGATGTCAGCCAGGACACGCAGTGAATGCCCCAGCGTTGTTATCTGTCTCGCGTTCAAAGAGCAAGTCATGACTCCTTCACTGCCTCTTCTTGTTTTGAAGTTCCTGGAGTTCCGCATTGGAAATGAAACACCAGGAAACCGAAGATTTCCATGCACTCGTCGTATATTCTTATTTGATTTCTCCCCACCCCGCAAACGTATAATGTTTTAGTTTGGACTAAATATTTTGACACCTGAAAATGTCTTCAACAATTATTTCCCCCCAAGTATCACTTTCAGTGAGATAGCGATAAAAGTGTGGGTCACTTATAATCCTGTGACCCAATTATTTACCCCAGGGACAGTTGGGCTTGAAGTAAAAGAGGATTTATGTTGAAATGACGTCAACACCACGCCAGTGAGTATGTTTCCAATATGACCTTTATTGAGCATGTACTGCTATGACATCAATTGTTGAATTGTTGCGAACTCTGCATGTCAACGAGGTTCTCCCATGAACAAAGTCCATTTTAAATGCACCAGTGAGGTAAACATAATTATTCATATATAGCTTTCTTAAGGCTAAGAGAGTTCTGTGTTTCACTTATTATTTTTGGCTCAGTTGGTTCTTTGCATAATACATCTCAAGACATCCCCCTCCCCCCTGAGTGCCCCCCTTCCAACAGCTTAGGAAATTGGCAAATTCCCCAGGTACATACGATATCATGCATTTGAAGCCCCCAAAGACTGAGGAGGGAGCACCCTGAGCTTGCATGCAGGTCCCTCCTATTGCACAAAGGGAAATACAACGTCTGGAGCCCCCATGGGAGAACCCGTTCGGCTTTGAAGCTGTCGATCACATGCATTGTGAAATTGTCATATGGCTTAACCTTTTGCAGCGGGACTCCTAGCTTAGTCGCTCTGGGTGACTTCCTTGACTATGGCATGTGAAGTGACTTTCTCCACCTTTTTAGTGGACACTAGTTTCTCCTCAAAGGTCTCCTCATGCTCCTCAACCTTTTGAGTGACCGTGACAGACTTGGTGATGTATTTGGTAGCACCATCTCCTCCCTCACTGGTGATCGTCTCCACCTTTTTGGTCACCAGAACTTTCTCCTCACTTTTATCACCCCCTTTCTTCTCGTCAGCTGGGCTCAAGTCGAACCCGTTTGTGACGACCCCTTTCTCGTCTTCTCCCCCACGGCCCTTCTCTGTAGTTTCCTCCTCTGCCTTGCCTCCCACCTCCCCGTTGATAGCTATATCTTCCTTGGTGGATTCCTTAGAGCCGGAGTCACTTCCTTCCTCCTCGCTCCCTCCCTCCTCGTCTGCCTTCCTCTTCTCCTGGGCCTGTGGCTTCTCTTCCTCTGTGGCCTCCTTCTCCAAGCTCACCTTTACGGTTTTGGTGACCGTCACCACCTCGGCCACCACGGCCTCCTTTACTGGGGAGTCCGCTTTCTTCTGCTCGGGCACTTCTTTGGGTTTCTCCTCCTTTTTCTCCACCTTCTCTTCTTTGGGGGGCTCCTTCACTTCCTTCTTTTCTTCCTTCACTTTCTTTGCATCCTCTTTCTGCTCAGCTTTCCCAGCTACAGCGTCGACTTCGGGTTTCACCTCTTCCCTGGGGGATTTGGGCGCTGGAGACTTGGCTTTCTCTGCCTTTTCCACCTTGGCTTCTGGCAGCGGCTCCTCTTTGGCGGCCACTTCTTCACTCTTTTTCTCCGTTTTCTTTTCCTCTTTAGCTTCATCTTCCTCTCCCTCACCTTCAGCTTCGGTTTCTCCTTCTTCTTCCTGCTCACCTTCCTCCTTCTCACTGGACCCTTCCTTTTCGGATCCTCCTTCTTCGGCTTGGTCGGATTTAGCACCCTCATCTTCTTCTTCCTCTTCCTCCTCTTCCTCCTCCTTTGCACCTTCCTCCTCACCTTTGATCTCGGGTGCAGTGGCTTTCACTGGAGACTGTTTGGCAGCTACAACTTCTTCTTCGGCTTCTTGTTCCTCTTCCTTTTCCACCTCCTCCTCTTCTCCTTTCTCTTCTTTCATGGACACCGCAGCACGCTCCTCTGCAATGGCGGCCAGGGCTTCTTCCATTTCTGACTTCTCGTCTTCGACTTTGGTTTCCTCTATGATCTCTTCAACAAATTTGTGTTGGACCTTGAGCTTGGGAGCTTCGACCTTAGTTTTCTGAATCTTACTAGCTATTGTGACGGAGGGCTGTCGGTGTGTATACAGAGGCCCAGGGATGCTTCCAGAAAATGTGCTAAATCTGGTCTCTTCACCCTCCAGAAGTTTCCTGAGGAAACAATCAAAGAAGACAGGCATAATTAAAATTTCAATGGGACTTCTGAGCTTCATTCTAGGATGAGCCAGTGTGACATCTGCTGTCATTTCATGGGTCTATTGAGTCATACCCAGGGACAGGGAGTGATTGTTTATTCAACTGCCTACTGCAGTCACTAACCACGCCCAGCCACCACTCCCAGCGCTGCAGTGCTCCATTGGGTACCTTTTAAAAATGTTTTAATGTGCCCTGTGACTAGACAGGCTCAGTCACCTTCTTAAACCTTTGGACTTCCAGGATAGATGGGAAATATTTTTTAAGCAAATGTAATTGCTGAAAATGCTTACAAAAATATTAAGGAGACTCCAAAACGTATCCTACATCATCTTCTACTTGACATTACTATGGATATGCCAAGTTATACATTGGTCTGTGATTAGAATCATAAAGCATCTTTAACATAATTATTCAGCTTACTCTGTAATGTTGTAATTACCTATTGATGGTGCAAAAATTGCTTTATCAAGCATCATCTTCTTAGAATCTAAATCAACATAAAGGCCACATCAATTAGTAGATGTATAATCTTGCCTCTTCTCACCCCCCCCCTATACACATACACTCCTGTGACACTTTCTAGGTATATAATTTATACTTGTAGTCTATCATACTAAGATTATTTCTAAAGCTATAAAAAGAAATATGCCTATATTGCATTTGATCAGTTGGTATCCTCAGACAGACGATGGCAATAGTAAGCTAGAAAAGGGAAACGGAGAACTAGGGTGTCCCCGTGCTTGTCCTTGACATAATAATACAATTGGGAAAGCTGGAAGCACAAGATGAAGGGAAACCAGAAATGCGGTTTTGATTCCGATATGTGGAAAAAATTTTCGGTAAAACGCAAGAATTTAAACACCAGCACTGCCATTAGCTAGCCCCCTCCCACCCTGTAGTCCACACACTTTATTTCAACGGATGTTCATTTTTTAAAAAAAGCTGTGTAAAAAGTGTCACCATCACATTTCTAAAGCTTTGGATTAGTCCATCTGTAGTTAAAAGAAGAAAATCAGACACCGGTCAAAGACTGCTGCCAACGGCCAGCTTTAACTGACCGGCTGAAGGCTCTCTGTCCCCACAGCCTCTGCAGTGCGGTGAGTCTTCCTCCCGAGTCTGCAGGGAGTACCATACCTGTAGGCGGCGATCTCGATATCCAGAGCCATCTTGACATTGAGGAGATCCTGGTATTCCCGCAAATGACGAGCCATTTCCCACTTTGTGCCCCGAAGCTCATTTTCCAACTGCTGGATGGTGTCCTGAAACAGACACAGGGTCATCATCCCAATTAGCCATTGCCTTTACAGATCATTTGCTGTCCCTGTCGTCCCCTGCTCCCTTCCCTCCTTCCGGCACAGCACCTTTCTGGGACCACGCCCGTACATTAATAAAGAAATCCATTGAGTCAGTCTAAGGGATCTGCAAATTAACGAGATCAAGAACGATATTGAGCACCTCACGGGGAGACCTAGAATAAGCCCTAACAGGGAGCAAAAGTGCACAGGGGAAATCCCACTACTGAGTTGGCCGGTGCCTCTGAGATGCTATCCGTTGAAGCCTGAATCGCGTGTGCTTTGGGTCACGGCTGCAAATAGCTGCCAGAATTTGTGCTAAAATCTCTGCCTTATTAACTACCTGAAGCGCAAGGGCGCAAAACTAGGAATTACGTTTTCGCAAAAAGTGGGAACGCTTAGCCAGCTGTGACCAAAGTACGAGGGGGCGGGTGGTAGACGGAGTTGGGAAGGCCGGGGACACTTTGCAGGAACTCCGCAAGGTCTGCGGCGCGCGGGAGTACTGGCCGGCCGCCACCAGGGTGCGCGGCGGAGAGGACTTCGGGGCGCGCGCGGGAGGGTCGGGGACGCGCGGCGCTGGCGCTGGCGCAGTCTGGCCATGCAGCCGCGGTTTCCTACCTGGTAGCTGCTCAGGTCGTGGTTGTGGCGCTCCTCGATGTCGCTGAGCTGCCTCTCCAGGGACTCCTTGGTGCCACGTACCGATTCGAGCTCGATGCTCTTGGACTGGAGCTGACGGCGGTACTCAGCGATCTCTTCCTTGGCCGAGCGGATGGCCTCCTTGTTTTGCTCGGCCGCCTCGGTGAGCTTCGCGTAGCGGCACTTGAACCATTCTTCCGCCTGGTGCATGTTCTGGTCCGAGTGGCACTCGAGCTGGGAGCGGATCTCTTTTAGCGCCGACGAGATGTCTGTCTTCAGGTAGTCTTTGCGCTCCACGGTGATGTGCGACCCCTGGATCTGGGCCAGCAGGTCGGCCACCTCCTCCTCGTGATTGCTGCGCAGGAAGGCGACCTCGTCCTGCAACGACTGCACCTTCTTGTCCAGCTCCACCTTGACCAGCGACGACTCCTCGATGTCTTTGCGCAGGGCGCGGATGGCGGCCTCCGTGTCGTCGCGCAGCCGCGCCTCCTCCTCGAAGCGCTCCTTCAGCCGGTGGATGTCCTCCTCCAGGTGGTCGGAGTCCAGCTGCACCTGCGCCTTCTCGTGGTTCACCATCTCCAGGGTGGCTCGCAGCTCGCGGATCTCCTGGTCGTACGCGTCGCCCAGCTGGGCGTGCGAGGCTTGCTTCTGCCGCAGCGCCTGGATCTCTGCCTCGATCTCCTTGTTCTGCTGTTCCAGGTAGTGCACCTTCTCGATGTAGCCCGCAAAGCGGTCGTTCAGCCCCTGCAGCTGCTCCTTCTCATTGGAGCGGGCCAGCTTGAAGTCGCCGCTGTGTCCCGAGCCGCCGTTGAGCAGGGACGAGGACTGGCTGAAGTCGAGGCTGCTCTCGGCCGAGCTGAGCAGCGCGGAGCTGTAGGCGAGGCGCGGGGCGAGCGCGCTGCGCTTGTACGACGAGGACACGGTGCTGGGTGAGCCGCGGGACCAGGACTGAGAACGGAAGCCGCTGGACGGGGAACCGCTCACGCGGCTGAAGCTGGAGCGGGTCTCGGTGACCCGCCGGTAGGCGGACGGGTTGCCCAGCGAGTCCAACGTGTAGCTCATCCTGGAGGCCTTTGGGGTGCGTGGCTGTCACAGCGCTCTGCCGGCCCCGCCGCAGCCCCTTTATAGCCGCGGCGCCTGGTCCCGGGCCAGGGCCCCGCCCCGTGGAGGCGGCGGCCGAGGGGGCGGAGACTGCCGGCACTCCGGGATAGGGGGTGGGGGTGGGGGCCAAGGCGTCGCAGTGATTCAGCTCCTGCGGCCCGTGGCCCCGCGCCCCCGCGGACCCCAGACTCTGCGGCCGGGCCCCCCTTTCAGTCCCGCATCACTTGTGGCCCCGCAGACCCTCTCTCCCGGGGCCCCGTCGCCTTCCGAGAGCGTTTTTCCACTCTAGGTGTGAATGTCCACCAACGCCCTTTCTTTGTCTGGTCGGTCGGTCGGCCAGTCCTTCTCCGGACCCCCTAGTCTCCTGATTTTCTTTTCTTTTTCTCTGCCAGCGACACTCTCTTACACTTTCTCCACTACTTTATTTCTTTCTGTCCCCATCTTCTGTGCTCAATTATCTCTCCTCCCCTCCACCCCCCACCAACCTGATAGGCGCTTCTTCGATCCCACTTGTAATCTTTCTCAGGTCCACTCACCCCATCTGTCCCTTAGTCCCTTCTCCTGGACCCTTTATCTTCATACCTGTTTCTGCTCCCCTTCTTCTCGGATCCCCTCCCCCCTCCGTCCTTCTAATCCCTTCCCCCAACTCTCCCCGCCCCCAGGCCTCCTTCCCTCCCCCCAGTCCGGGCGGCAGCAGAGGAGCGCTAAGGAGTTGGGCCTAGAAAGAGGAGGGGGAGGGCGGGGGCTGAGGAATGGGAAGCCGGAAAGCTTGGGGAAGAGGACAAAGAAGGGAGCCGGGGCTAGTTATTTGTATTAAAAGTGGGATCCGGGGTTACGTTCTGCTTAACGTTTGGGGGACGCCCGACGCTTCCGCTGGGGCAGAAGGTAAGGGAGGGGTTTGTCCTCGCGGCGGCGCCGGCAGCACCAAGGACAGCGCCCTGGCCGGCGTGCCGGGGGTTCTGCTGCCTCGGGGCTTGTCACTCTGCTTTGTCTGCTGGGGAGCGGGATTTCCTCCACTGTCACTTTGTAAGCCTGTTTGTAGTCATGTTTTGTGTTTGCAGGAGTCACGCTGGGACCGCAGTCAGAGAGTTCTCTGCAATGCAGAGTTGGCGCAGTGAAGAGGTTGCAGGTCCTGAAAACAGCCGAAACTCATTACAAACAATCAACAGAAATAATGTGCTTAGAGCCCAATTTGAATTTTCTCAGATGTTATGAATCCAGGGAATCAAATATACAGGATCTGATATTTGAAGGTCAAATATTCCTCGGAAAAGCGAACTTGAAGTCTGCTGGGACCATAGATCCAGAGGCTTAAGTTGGACCACTAATAATTGCCTTGTTATCATTCACCTCAGCATTGCCTATATTTAACTGCAATGGTTGGAGCGGTGTCTGAATTAATTAAAAAGTTGCCCAAAAGACACATCCCAAGGCAAGCTTGACTCAAACCAGATAGTTTCCCTTCCTCATAAATGTAATATATTCTCTCATTGAGGTTTGAAGGACTGACCTGGAATCAGGGATGACTATCTTTAAACGTAGTTGTTTAAACAAAGCATCTGCACAGACTTCCTGCTCTCCAGTTTATTTTGGATTGTGCTTTGAGAGTAATTCAGGGTAAAGACAGTTCAGGACACTGCAAGGAAAAGTCTAGAACAGAATGCCGGGCTGAAGACAGTGCTTGCTGGGGCCACAGGCCCTTGTGAAAAGCTGTGGCCCAGAAGCAACCACTGCGTATGAAAAGTAGGCTGTGACTTAAATAACTTCTTTTCATAGCATGCTTTCCACAGTTACTGTTTTAATGGAACAATTAGTGAGTCCTTCCAGAAACCCCGCCTTTCTGGTGAGAGGGCTTTCTGGCATTTTAAAACAGAAGGGGTTAATTTAGTGAGTGAATTTTGGTTCCTGAGCATGAAATTGCAGCATTGCAGGGTGTGTGGGCGAAGGGAGGATGTTTCCGTTCGCTGAGTTTACCTTCCAGGGAAGGAGAGCCCACTTCTCCAACTGTAGACAGAGACAGCTGATAGTGAGGGGACTGATGGATGAATATGGTAGAGAAACAGGACTTTCTGATTTCCGATGAATAAATAGAGGAAGAGAGAAAGAAAAGAGCCTGACTTCAGTAAAGGGCTGCCCATTGTTGGATTCTGCAGAACATCCTCTAGTTAGGGCCAGATACTGATTGTGCCCTGAGGAACCATTTGCAAAAAGAAAACGACAAGTTATTATATCTTAGTTATGATGATGACTTGCTTTTATTGAAATATTGAAACCCCTTGTCAGTTTCTTGTTGCACATGCTCAGGAAGTCTGCAATGGGAGCACATAGTTTGCTGGCAGGTTTCTGCTAAGGGATTTTTCTTCAGGGCTTTGAAAATGATGAGTATGATTCTGCAGTGAGACATTTACAAGGAAACATATGTTCTAACTTCAGAATGAGCCTGTTTTGCCTTGTATCTAAACTAGCTCAGAAACTGGTGAGCTTCCAATTGGTTACAGAAGAGGTAAGCATTGCATACAAATAAAATAATGATCCCCTGCTAAGCCTAAACCTATTGCCTGTAGCTTAAAATTGCACTTTCATGTCCTGAAGTATTAGGGTTTAGTGTGGGTACCGCAGAACGATGCAGAGAACATAGAACTGTCACTTTACTATGGAGAAAAAGTTCCGGTGGCTTAAAACATGTTTACTTCTATTCCACATTTAGCAAAATATTGTATTTTGGGGTAGACTCGCTTAGCTCTTTCCTTGAAGGTGACTTGAAGGTTATCATCATCAGTGATCTTAGTCTGAAAAGTTTTTTTAGATATAAAAATATATAACAGATGATTTCTCTTTTTGTCTCGTTTCTAAAGAACATTCATTACATTATTATTTTTTTTTCATAGAAAGGAAGGCAAGTTTTTGCATTTTTTACCCCAACAACAATATGGCTACAGAAAAAAATAACAAGAGAAGAAATAAGCCTGGGGATTTATCTTCATTTACAACACTGCACTGATGGAGCTCAGGTTGGTTATGATACATTTGCAATTTAATCTCAACAGGGGCATTATACCATATAATATTTAGATGTAAGATATTTTTAATGAAATAATTTCTCGATTGGTGTTTTTACAAGCTAGAGTCTGATTTGCATTACATTATAGAAATACACGGCATGCTCCATTCTTTGTGGTCTTTCAGTAGATAAAGTGCAAGTGTCAAATTTATAGTTTAGCTAGAGCTATTCTGAGTTTCCTTAGGGCTTTATATAATAATAATGAGAGAATTCCTTGCATGAGGAGTTTATTTATTTGGCAAAGATTGAAAAATAAAGAACTGGGCATTTTTTCTCCTGTTTCATCTATTTCCTTCCATTTCTACTTTTTTCTTTTTAAATTATTTTATCGGGGCTAGGGGTGGCTTGTGCCCATTTCTACTTTTAAAGAATGTCATTTCCCCCTTTCAGATTTTTACAGATATGAGGAAAATGGGATGTAGGCACTGGGCAGGGAGGAAGAAACTGTGAGAGGGAGGGAGTATCAAATGGGCAGACTGCATCTATCCAAGCTGAAGTCCTCTCTCCTCTCTCCTGACCTACTGTGATGTCTTGAATCTGATCCTCTTGCCAATACCTGATTCTAGAACTCGTGGTGAAGAACCTTTTATAAGATTTCTTCTGCTAATTATTTAAGGGACTATGGACGCAGGAAACTGGGAACTGTCTCCCACAGAGTGGGGATGAAAGGAGAAAGCAAACTGTAATACTTACTTCTGCTTACGCCCTGGAAGGACAAATGTTAGAAGCAGTTTTAGACCTATAGTCTTTCTTTTTTGTTTCAGATGTTAAAAGTAAAATAAAAATATCCTCAGGGGAAAAAGGCTGTTTCTTGTCAGAAAAACGGGTATGAGTTTCCCTCCTGCCTTTCATTAAAAGGAGTCCACCTGAACTATGATGTCTCTTTTCAGACATTAAGTCACCAAAATTGGACTTGTTTCTCTTGTCAAATATTTCACTAATTAAATATTGCCTTATTTTTCTATCCATTGCTGTTTTCACAAAAAGTCAAGTATTTAGAAAATTTAAAACATGCATCTTAATTTTGTCCAAAACATAAACTTAATCAGTTCTGAAATTCAGTATGTGGAGATTTCGTATTTTATGGGGAAGGCTTTCACTTTTAGCTTTAACATTGCTTATAGAACCCCCCCCAACTTTTTTTGTGCTGTGTAATGCCTTTACCCTACTACTGTGAATCAGTCCTGTGAAAGCCAGTGGGAGAAGACTTAGAATTAATAAACAAACCAAAATTAATATAGCCCCATTAAAAGTGATTCTAAAAATAAAGTTCAGTGGATACATATGAAAACATTACTCCTGTATTAATTTTCAGCATACTTTTAATTGGACACGGTGGCTTTAGTAACAAAGCTGCCGATCCTGATCATATGCACTTGGGTTTTTAAAACACTGCATTGCACATCCCTATGCATCAGTACGGCCCCGTTATATTCATAGTGTACTTGATCCCAAGCTTACCAAGACCTGACTTAGCAAGGGACACAATTCTCTAATCAGAAACTCTTAATTAAAACGAGTTTTGTATTAATGATCAGATTAAAGAGCAGATTAATGATCTATTAACTTTGGACCAAATTTCTGAAGGTAGCTCAACCCAGGGAGCTGAAAGAGTGAAGGAAGATGATCTACCTAGTAATTAAATCTCATTGCCCCATAATCAGATTGGGTTTTCATAATCTTGATGCTTCTGAAAAGCAGTATTCTTTCATAGTGCTTCTCTAAAAACGGGTTATTGTCAGAGCTACCTCTTTTCATGTACATAACCAAGAACATAATATATTTTAAAAGACTCCATTTACATTTTTCTTCAAAATTACTACGCGCTTAGTGTAGAGTTTTGGAAAGGTAAAGTAAGAGTTAATGAAGTATTTTTGGTGGTTTCCTTTGAAATTTAAATGTAGATGAGATCTAGCTCTTTGTATGCTATCATGTCCTGCTTTGTTTAAGAAATTATCTGAATATGTCCTTTGATATCTTTAGAGGAAGGAAGGTGGCATATTTGACATAAGTTATGCACATTGAAGATATATTTCAAAAGTGCTTTACATTAAGAATGCCAAATTAACAACTACAGTGAATCAAGAAAATCTAATTGGATTCAGTATTAATTCCTGTCTCCTCTCTTTCTGTTTTGTCTCCTTCTCTCTTTTGCTGATTGAGAAGATTTTCATGGTGACGTTGAGATAGGTGGTTGGCCCAGAAGTGGTGACATGTCATCCTGCCTAGTTTGGTCCAGCAATGTATTCCTCTGCACTTAGTAGTATTTTGAATCACAAGGCCATCATCACTATCATCATCAGAAAAAGCCACCACTATCTTCATGTGAACATGTTTACATATGGACAATGCTTTACATTAAAGAAGATAAACCAAGACAGAATAAAAATAAAACAAAAGTCCATTAAGTTGCCAGACCTGAATACCAGGGGTGGGCAGGGCAGTGCACACATTGTTTCCATTTTATAGGTGACGAAATGAAGTAAGGGATTTGTTCAAGGTCTTCATGTGTAAGTGATGAATCAGGACCAGATTTGGACAACCCATATCTTGGACAACAGTATTGGCAGTAAAAATAGAACTCTTTTAATAAGGTATAAAATATAGTCTGGATAAATAAATATGAAAAAATAAAAGAAGGCAAATATTGATGACATCAGGAACTGTAAGTAGTATTTGTTGAGTGCTTACTATGTGCTAAGACTTTTCTGGTTTATCTAATTTAGTCGTCATAACAACCTATGCAGTGCATACTATCATTATTATCAGCTGAAGGAAAGTCAATTGATGCATAAAGGCACTCTCACTGCCATGCAGTCAATGTGGACTCAGTGAACCTTTATGGGTTTCCGAGACTGTAACTGTTTATGGGAGTAGAAAGCCTAGTCTTTCTCCAGAGGAGCTTCTGGTGGTTTTGAACTGTCAGCCACGCAGATCGCAGCCCAACGGGTAACCACTACACCACCAGGGATTAAAGAGCAGCAACATGCCCCACAGTTATAAAATAATGGGACTGAAGTTTCTTTGGAGACATGTAGTTATTCAGTCTTCCACCAGATGGCAGCATGCACTAAAGTGGGATATCTCGTTCCCACTAATACCCAGAGGCAGAAAAGATAGGTGGGCACTACATAGTTTACTGCACAAAAGGATTAAAAAGTAATTTTCCAATATCTATGTGTTGTTAAAGAATTCAATACTTACACTTTGCATTCTTTTGTGTTAGTATTTTCTCAGACGAATATTGGTTTTGCGACTTTGTTACTAAAGCACTAAAAAATAAATATTTTAAATGACTTTATCTTTGTCAATGTTTATCCTAAATTAATTTTCTATGTAACTTGCAGGGCAATTAATTAATTCATTCTAATCCCTGATCTTTATTCCATATCCATAATCATTTATGTGTGGTTTTATGTGGTACCCATTTATCATTAATATTTGCATGCACTTTGGTTTAGTTTTTACAAACTTTTAATTTGTATAATACACTTAATATAATACAACTTATTTAGTGATATAGCTATGGTTTATAAGCGGTTAAATTGAAAAGAAACTCTTTCAATGATTCTGCATTTATAATTTTTTGTAGATGTCAAACTCTTAACTAAGTCTACTTTGAGAAATTCAGTAATAAGCATTTGAATCTTGGCAGAAGAAATAGCTTGGCCCACATTCTTCATCAGTGCAGGTTTGCAATGGGATGTCTGGCATGGACACAGCTTTTAAAATCTATTAAAACAGTGAAGAGGTAAGCGGTAGCAATGAATAACTTTAAGTGAAATCTTTTGATCATCTACTTTATATACTAAAATCAGGGTTATGTGACTGTATTTATATAAATTGTTCAGTGACAAGTCAGCCTCTATCCATTTTTGTTATTTATGGAGTAAAATGTTCTGACTCACCCTTATTTTCATTTGTGTAACTTTGCTTTAGCATTTCCTTTGAGAGGGTCAAGGAGCACAGTCGTTTCCCATATTTCCTGAACAACAGTTGACCTTGAAGTAACATGTAGCCTGCTGTCTTATTCATCATGGCAGCACTTAGCCTCTGGATTTGGATTACATCAAATTATTAGGAACTGAATACCTAATGATAAAAACCCTCCCTTAGACACTGACTCATGTAGTGTGATTTACTTTGTTTTCTTCTGCTTCCCGGGAGTGTTCATGATCCCTTCTCTCCGCCATGCTCAATATGCTCAGGAAACTTGAAGCGTCCTTGGAAGCTTGTGAGAATGAGAAACAGCTTGAACAAGGGCACGCTGGTATCAGGTCCAGCCGTTAGGTGTTTCTTGAAGTTGTGGGAGCCCTTGGCTTCTAGAGTGGCAGTTTCATTTAGACTCCGTGATCTGGTCCTAGGAAACGTCCACTAACCCAAACCCTTTCCTTTTCTTCCACGTATTGATTCTTTCTCTGGGTCTCTAGAAGCCATTGTAGTCTAGTTAGGGACTACTTACTGCCTATTGGTCACTTACAGTCTCAAGAGTGACTAATGACAGACATTGTAGAAAAAGCAGATATCTTAAGCATATTTGCCCAGCCCACAATTTATGTAGGTAGCGAGTGCCTGAGATGCAATAGTCGATTGAATGGATAAAGTTCCCCTAGAACTGAATTCAGTAAGCTTGGGGTCTCTTCAATATCAGACGCTGTGCCGGGCATTGAGGGAGGAGATGAAAGACATCATTTTAGCTTGAGTGAATACAATCTAATGGAAGGTCTAGGCGAGTGAAGACATCATGGACATGGGGCTGATACATGTTTTGCTAGAGATAGAAAAGTGTATCATGAGTGTGCAGAGGATGGCCAGCTGAACTCATTGGTGACAAGGGTGGGAGAGCTTATGGGAGAACTTTCAGGAGGAGGAGGCACCTGAGGTGTGTGCTGCCATCTAAGTAGGACTTCCCCGAGTGAGGAAAGCCTATTCAAACATTGGAACGAGGGGTAGCACTTTGCGGACATAGTGCAAAGCAATGGCACACAGTGCAGGGTACAGAGGGAAGCACGCAGTCTTGGTTAGAGAGAAAGGCACACAGACCCCATGTGGAAGAGAAGGGCACCATGTGGACAATGCCACCTCCTGTGGAGAGCTAGGGCTATCCTGCGGGGCTGCAAAGGCAGATATCTAAACTTGATCTTGGAGTATGGGGTATCTAGTACAAAAGTCTATGATTGACAGGGAGCCCACTGAGTAATCATTTTTTCATTTTTGTTTTCGGAAAAGGGGGCTATCGACCAAATAAGGTTGGGATCATAGTTGTCGATGACAAATGAGCAGGTATCCCTGAATGGAGACAAGGGGTTACATATTTCAGCTTAGAGGGAGAGAAGCGTGTAACCCAAGTAGGCAAGACGAGGACTTGTAGCCCTGGCTGGAGGGCGCAGCAGAGGAGAAACATCAAAGGGCTTCTTAAATCAAGATAAGGCAATTTACTTCATGTATAGCAGACCAGAGCAATTAAGCATTTAGGAAGATAATGACCTGGCCAGGTCAATATTTTAGAAAAATCCCCTTAATAGAAGCGAGTGGATCTGTTTGAATGGGTGAACCAGACTGGAAGCGTGGGAGTACATTTTGAGGCTACAGCAATCTAGCTAGATAAGATTTGAGAAAGGTATGAATTAGGGATGGTGGGCTGGGAGAGCCAAGGCAGTTTGGGGGAACAGGTGGATGGTGGTGTAATTTTCAATGTATTTTCTGTAGCTACTTTAACTGATCGCCACAAACATTGTGGTTTATAAAAACTCATCTATTATCTTACAGTTCTTGAGCTTAGTGGTCCCAAATCAGTCACAATGGGCTAAAATCAAGGTATTGGTGGAGCTACAATGCTTCTTAAAAGTCTAGGGGAAAATCTGTATTTTACTTAAAAAATATGTTACAGAGTGTTGGGTGAAACTTTACACAGCAAAGTAGGTATACATTTAACAATGTGTATACATATTGTACAGCAGCATTAGTGGCATTTTCTACCATGTGTCCACATTCTCCATATTCCTATCTTTGGTCAGAACAGCAGAGCAGTCAGTGCGGGTAGCTGGGCACCACCCACGTTTTCTAGTCTCCGGGACAACGAAGAAGCTGTGCAGTTTGTGTAGGCAGTTAGTCCTGGCGACTGTCCTTTGACTCTTTGGTTTCCTTCTTTTGCGTGTGCTCCAGACAAAGAGACCAATAGTTATATTTAAGGTGGCCACTCACACAATTTAAAAACGTCAGCCAGTACTTACGTACGAGGATGCAGGATGTAAGTTTGTAGGCTCTGGTGGTATAGTGCTTACACGTTGGGGCGTGATCGGCATGGTTGGCAGTTCAAAGCCACCAGCAGCTCTTTGGGAAAAAGACTGGGTATTCTCCTCCGGTAAACAGTGACAGTCTTGGAAACCCACAGGGGGTCACTATGAGTCAGCATTGGCTCAGTGGCAGTGAATTTTGTTGTTTTTGTTGTTTCAGGAGACTGAGTTTAAGCCATCAAGCCCAGTAAACCAGTCCTGTGAGGTCTTTGGTGATGTCTGGGAGGTAACTGGGTCTGTGTCCCCTGTACATTTTATTGTACATGTGTATTGCACATATGTGCAGCACACACAAACATGTATATACCCACACTTATAGATAATACCCATATAAGGGTAAGTCAAAAAGTATTGCCATTAGGGTTCTAGTTCATACATGCATGAGTTCATTTTAAACCAAATGGGTTCACACATGTCTCTGAGGTCAGTGGATGACTTCAGACATGTTCTCTCAGGAACATGCTTGTCTTATTAGAGTGCTTTCAGAGAAGGTCGGATCTAAACTGTAGCTTCTGAAGAGATCTGCTGGGCCAGATAAGTTCAAGGCAGAGCGATCAGGTGATGGCATATTTATTTGTGAAATTCCAAAGGCGTAATCTCGATACATTTTCTCAAAGGATACAGGATGATTGTGGTAGCTTATCATGAAGAAATCTAAAAAAATTAAAAATTGCATTGATAAGAAAAACTCGAGGAAAAAGACTGATGATTCTCTGCACCCCCCCCCC